TTTAAGCCGTGGGCCGCTCTCCAGAAAGCACCGCTTCTCCTCACTAACCCTGAAGATACCAGTCTCTCCCAACGCAATAAAATCCTATGGGGACAAAAAAGAAAGACAAAGAAATAGAAATAAAAATAGAAAGAATATAGCGTAGGTAGCAGCCAGGGGCTCGAGGAAAGGTAGTCCCAGGAGCGGGCTTGGACACTCAGATACTTATATTCTCAGTCACTTTCGTCCGTATATATACAGAAAAACACACATGTATATATGTATATCAATATAAACAGATAAATAACAGTTTATCCGTCTGATGAACTCTCGACAAGCTCGAAACGTTATGATTTAATTCTATTTCTTATTATGGCTATCCGATTCATCTTTGCGTACATCTTATTTAGTGAGTGTGTGTGTGCATACACACATGTATCCATATATACATGTGTGTGTTTGTAGACACACACAAAACAGACACACATACACACATACACGCACACACACGTGCGCACACACACACACACACACACACACACACACACACACACACACACACACACACACACACACACACACACACACAACACACACACACACACACACATATTATATATATATATATATATATATATATATATATATATATATATACACACACACATATATACATACATACATATACATAAGTATATCATATATATATATATATATATATATATATATATATATATATATATTTATATTTATATTACACCCACACATATATATGTGTGTGTATGTGTGTGTGTGTGAGTGTGTGCGTGTGTGTGTACACATACATGATGTGTATATACATGTACATATATGGATATATGTGTATATACATGTGTAATGGATGTATATACATGGATGTGCATGTGTGTATATATATATATATAATATATATATATATATATATATATTATATATATAATATATATATATATACACACACACACACACACACACACACACACACACACACACACACACACACACACACACACACACACACACACATATATATATATATATATATATATATAATATATATATATATATATATATATATATATGTATATATATAAGTATATATATATATATATATATATATATATATATATAATATATATAATATATATATATACATATATATATATATATATATATATATATATATATAATATATATATATATATATATATATATATATTATATATATATATATATATATGTCCCAGAAATTGAGGATTTCTGGCTCCTGGTACCAGCGCCCAGACCCACATCGTTGGACATGGTACAGCGATGCGGGTAATGCAACCAACGAGATCGACCACATTCTCGTTAGCACTCATTGGAGGATCCTCCAGAACTGCAGGGTGTATAGGAGTGCTGAGTTCTGTGGTACTGACCATAGATTGGTTGTGGCTACCCTCCGGGTCCACTTCAAAACTCCCCAGCGGCCCAATGATCCCTCTAGGGGGTTTCATCTGGACAGGCTGAAGGAGGAGTGTGTGCTCGGGGGTTTACTGAGGCAATCTCTGGCCGTTTCACAGCGCTCGACAATCTGACGGACCCTGTACCTTCAAGCGCGAAACGCGTGATGCAGCCCGAGAGTCGATTGGTGAATGCAGGAGACACTGGAAGCCACAGATGTTTGCTGTGTGGCTCGTCTGAAATGGGATCGGGATTTGCACCGTTCTCAGGTGCGTACAAGGTCTCTGTTAAAAAGGGATAAGGAACAGTATACTAGGAGTTTTGCTGAGGAGGTAGAAGGCCATTTCTTAGTAAATGACCTTCGGCTTGCATACCAAGCCCTGGGAAAGCTGAACTCCAAGCCCTCTTCACTGGTGACAGCAGTTCACTTGGGAAGTGGCCAGATCGTTTCAGATCCTGTTGCGGTGCGGGAACGTTGGGCTGAATATTTTGAGCAGTTGTACCAGGCTGATCCACTGATAGTTAACTTGGATGCAGGTTGTGTCGTGATTCCGTTGCCGGACCCACCCTCCCTAACTGAAGTTAGGAGAGCGATCTCCAAGCTGGAGTGGTAAAGCAGCGGGTATTTGCGGCATTCCAGCTGAACTGTTAAAGGCTGGTGGTGAACATATGGCGTGTGGGTTGCATGCTGTCCTGGCTGCCATCTGGCTGTCCGGTAATGTTCCCCCTGACCTGTTGAGGGGTGTGATCATCCCTCTCTGGAAGGGGAAAGGGAACTGAGGGGACTGCAGCAATCACCGAGGCATCACACTGCCCAGTATACCAGGCAAGGTACTTGCTAGTATCCAAAGTCATTGTGGAGCAACTCTGGGCAATATCAAGGTTACAGATCTTTACTTTGCTGATGATGTTGCTATTCTATCTGAATCTTTAGAAACCTTAGTGGCGACTCTGGAAACATTTAGTAATAAAGCGAAGCCATTGAGTCTAATGGGTCTCCTGGACAAAGAACAAGATCCAGGACTAGGAGAACATGTTCGGTCTCGCACGTGCCTGCGGC